CAAAGGCTGTCACCAAAAAAAAAATATATATTATAAAATCAATGCGATTTTTTAGCCACTCAAAACTTGCACTCGTTTTACTAGAATTTCATAAGCTTGTTAACTGCGTACCCAACATATTTCCAAAAGTTCTGGTTAAAAAGCTCAAAATTAAAAAAAAAATTGGAATTTTTTTAAGTTTTGTATAAAGTGTGAAAGTGTGATTTGTGTATATAGTTTTTGTTAATGTATGAACCATATTTTTATAAAAAAATATCAAAAAAATGTTAGCTTGGAAAACATCGAAACGAAACACCATTCATCCATTTTTGCCCGCTACTGTATGTGCCTATCTACATGCATACCAGCGTTAATTGCTTTTATTCGCCAGATTATATTGCAGCGTGAGTCCTCATTGATTCCACTTGAGAGTTTGGAAGTTTGTATGTTGAAAGTTTCTAAGATGCGCCGAACTTTGAAGTTAAACGATTTTGTGCAAAGCTGCCAAAAACATATACGTAAAAAATGTGTTTTATAAGTGAAACCCAAAATTTTGCAAATGCTTCGCTTCCAATATACACTTAATATCTACACTTTACATAGTTCAAAAACACAAGTTGTACTGAAATATGACTTACCTTATCAAGTTGGCTTCGTAGATTCAACATTTTGAAATGGTTGTTGTTTTGATGAGCGAGTATGGTAGCTTTTTAAAAACTCAGTTTTTCACGATTTCTATTTTTTAAACTGCATCAAACACATAAATATTTAAAATTACCAAACAAAAATATAAATTTTTTTTAACATCTTTTTGTAGTTATACATAAATTTTGATTGCTCGCTGCAAACATATGAATGTATGTACATATGCAAGTAGATATGTTTTTGAAAGCAGCTTTTGTGAAAGAAGCGTGCTAAATCGGCTCACCGGCGCTGCCAGGTATGTGGGCTGTGAATTTGGTCCGCTGATTTCACTGCTCAACTCGCGTACGTATTTTCTCTACTTTCCACTTTTTGCGGAAAAATATGTTGCTGCTGTTTTGTTTTGTTATTTTTAGCTAAACAGTACCACTAAAAAAAAAAAACTAACTGTGTTTTTGGTTGTTTTTGCAGCGGGTCGTCACTCAATTTCCACAAAATATAAACGAACAATTTTATATGCAAAGCAAATAATTTATGCGGCCACAAATACCACTCAAAGCCACTCAAATTTTATTATACAACTGCATAACAGCAAAATAAAAAGTACACGCGTGTAATTCGAAAACAGTCAATTGAAAGCGACCAAATTCTGTTAGTGGCAGCGAGCGCACCGCTCCGACTTAAATTAAATTCGCAACTGAATGCGCAAACTTGTTTGCACTACACTCAAATACATACACGCCAATACTGTAGGGGTGAAATGTATTCATGGCGGCAGTCACTGAGCTAGCGGGACAGAAAGGTACCAACCAACCGTTTGCTAAACGTGCACTGGCAAATGCAAAAGGCACAATATGATCGCCGGCGAAACTCTATGTGCGACTATATGGTATTGTAAATATATATACACATATGTATACACAAAGCGCGCTTAACCAGTCTCTGTCTGAGTCTGTGTCTGGGTTTGAGAAAAGCAAGCGCGCGCGGCTCAGCGTGATCATCTGCCTGAACGCCTGCTCACCTGGCTGTTCGACTGGCAACACACAACTACCTGATCAACTCAAAAAGTGTAAAGCGCACGTAAGTCACTGGTGCCGGCAACATCGCCGCCGCCGTCGTCGTCGTCGTCTGCACCTCCACCTTTAACATTCAACACGCTAATATATTCATACATACGTACATATGTAGGTACCCGCGTCAAGTTGTCCAAACATGTTTGGCATAAGGGGAGTAATTCGCTCCGTAGCAAGCGACTATGCATATTACAAGTTACGCTAAATTCGCCGTTATACGAATAACAGCATACTTTCTGACCAACATAGCAATTGATAGTTGGCAGTTGGTTAGTAGGACTTGTTTAACGAGCTCAGCAATCAATAAGTATGGTCATTAAATTAGGTAAATCGAAAAAATTTAAGAGGAGATATTATGTTGGGTTTTTGAAAGTTGAATTTAAATTTCGAATACATCGTTATGCAAATTGTAATTATTTATGACAAAAAAATCTAAATAAATGTAATAGTGGGCATTTACTTATTATAACTAACCGCAGCAATGGGTTCTGTGCTGGGTTTGGGAAACAAAGTCTCGGATGAGACCCGCCTTTAGATAAAGATCACGGCAAACGTTTAAAGATCTAAGATTTGAGGACAAGCACCTGGAATGTCCGGACTCTTAATGGGGAATGTAACTCTGCATCGTACGGACAATAGTTGACATCACCGCCATCCAAGTGGACGAGCCTCTAGCCACAATCTGCATCAAAGCGAGTCTCTTAAACATCTCGCTTATCGGCGCCCATGCCCCAATGGAAGAAAAGGACGAAGCGCGGTTAATGCATTAGCTACTCCACTCTCAAACCTGCTCTCAAGGAGCACTTTTAACCCAACCGATATATGCGAGCAGTGGAACCAGGGTGGTGAGTTAAGCGTTAGGGAGATTCGAAGAACAGTCCGCTCCTAATGGATTACTATTAACCGTGAATAAACTGTTGCTGAGATTGGAAGCGGATGGAGACAAGGTAATTACGATGTTGCAGTAGTGCTGCTGGGCAAACTCCTCTGAGTTTTAAGCTACCAAATGGAGAGCCCAGCAAAGTTTGAGTTATTGAGTTATACTTACCAGGAGGCCTATTTTAAGCCACAAAATCTATATAAAACACTAAACATGTTAAGAGATGTTCAAAGGATGAGTCTGCTCCTCTGAACTGAGACTAGATAAATAGTTTCCATTCATCGAATATGGCAGTGCAAAAGTGGTGACCATCCAGGTAATAGCATGTAGCCTGGCTGAAATACATATAGAGTGGACAATAATGCAGAGACTCTTACTGAACTCCATGGATTTTAGAATGAGATAGCTCAGTATTGTAAATTCACTACATGTGACTGTTTGGATATTGGGATATTGATAGTTGCAAAGCTGGCGAACTTACTTCGAAAGATACGATCACCCACATTCTTTCGGGACTATATTAAAGATATTAAAATATTGAAAATATCAGCCTTGGCATAATTCGTTGTGCCAACAAAAGGCTTTTTATAAATCAAATGGGTTGTTAACTCCAATTGGCATCGCAGCGGGCTTGTACTGGTCTATGTCTGATATGCGAAGTGTTCTTTCCAACCAATTGAACCTAATATTCTTTGGACCATTCTGAGATTTTAATATTCGATCAATTTCCAATTGGTCAAGGAACCTGGTGTCACTTAGAAATATCCTGTACATTTTGTTTGTTCGAGAAAGTCCCAAAAACGGTGCCATGTTTTTTATTTCGCAACTTCGAAAAAGCATTTACAAGTTAAAAACAAAAGAAAAATTTAATAAAATTTTTTATTTTTGGAAAATCGCCGAAAATTGAAAGCATTCTCTGCTAATTTCCCGGCTAACACTTTAGCGCTTTTTATGGGAAATCCTTTCCGTTTTCGAATACGCTGTGGAAATCCGCAGTGCATGAAATGTAATCGTAGACTGCTAATTTTCAAACAACCAATCTATGTTTTTGAAACCGAGATAATTTTTTTTATATTTAAAAAAATGTATTTATTATAAGAATTTGTCGCTTAATCATAAAAAGACTACTGCGAAAAGTATTGTAGTAATTGCAATTGCGCTGTTAGTTATCCATATTTATCTCCTGCAAAGTAAGTTATAACTTCATTCAAAACACTGCCATACGAAAAGCTGTGTAATTTTTACGCCTTGCAAATAAAAAATTTCTGGAGAATCACAATGAAAATAAATAATAATTTGCAAGTACAAACAGGACCGATAAAGTTTTGTTTTTAACATTAAATTCTATCAATAATTCTGCTAAAACTGAACACTGTAAATTCGAACGTGACTAACTAATCCACTTTAAAGTGATCATTGATTACCTATCTGTGTAAATACATATATGCACATTTTTCAAGCTTTGGAATTATACATTGGAGCATTCCATGGTCACGTACAGACAAATTCAACTACTTTTCTAATATTGTAAGACGTATAGGTTTAGATACGTTATGCATTGTTATACAGTGAAACCTCTCCTAACGGACACTCCTATTAGACATATATCTCCCTTGGGCGGACATTTTTTCCTATACCAAGTTTAAGGTATAAATTTCGGAACAAATTACTCTCTCTTAAGCGGACACTCTCTTGGCCGGACGCGGACACTGAAAACTCTATTGAGCGGACGCGAACCTCTTATCAACGGACATTAAGATTTCTTTTCATAACAAATCAAACAAAAACCTCCGTTGAGCCGACGCGAACTCCTCATAGGCGGACTACTAAATGGAAAAAGGGGACTTCCAGAAAACCTTGGAGAATCCTCATAAGAATTCTCATGAATTTATAACAACAGATAATAATAAATACATGGACCGAAAATTTTGATTTCTGGTTGGATTTTGTAACTGATAAAAACAAAAAAACTATTGATGAAAAAGGTACTGACACTGAAAAAAATTAAAAATAAAACTAACGTCAATCGACGATTTCCCAGTGTTTTTAATGTAATGTAGTTGATGGACTGAAATGTAATACTTAATTTTATTTTGTTATTACTTAATATGTACTTACGCACATAAATGAAATATGCACTTTTGAAAAAACACATGCACATTTTTGTTTGAACGATGTAATATCAATATCTATTATTCAAATAAGAAATAGTGACTATTCAATTAATTAAAACATTAAAATAAGCTTTCCTTCCATTGAGCGGACACCTCTCTTGGGCGCAAAAAAATGACTGACGGTGAGTGTCCGCCCAAGGGAGGTTTCTCTGTATTTATATTAAAATATTAGTGAAACTATTAAGCAATGTAAGAACCAAAGGCTGTATTAAAGGGAAAAATCAACAAAATGTGCGTTGTTATTTTTTAGCTATTTTTTTTAAATAATTTCTCACGTACCGACAACTCATGTTACATGTCCGACAGAGTTCACATAGCTAGTTATAATTGTTAGTTATTTAATATTAGATCGCCGTTCTGCAGCTCTCTAAACAAATGAGCGTACCATTAAAACAGGTAACTTAAGATTTATGTTTCCTTTAAATCAATGTCCATAAAGTCACGAAAATTTAAAAGTTTGATATTTCCAAATTCGCTGAGAGTTCCACTTTTTCATGGAATGCTCCATTACATTTACACATGCTTTTGCCGGCTACAACTGTTGAAGTATACAGAAATACAACCCAATTTAATACGCGTAATATAGTAGATACGTACATACAAACTTACAAATGTAAACTTGCATTTACATAAATACCTAGATGCATATGTATGAATGTACAGCAACGTGTTTTATGTGGTTTCAAAACATGATTTCAAGTTGGTACTACAAATCACAATTGTTTGATTAAAATGCAAATTTAAAATGATCAATGCTTTGTATTGAGCTACAATTAAGAGATTAAAAGCGCTTGGCAGAAGATTAAGCGAAAACTAGCAATTTAAACATTGATTAGTTTAAAATGTGATTGGAGTGAAATGGAATAGAATATGTGATCACTTCACCAGATGTAGGTATTAGTTTAAAAAAATGTTGCTAAAAAATTTATTTAAAATAAATAATGAGTATAAAATAATGGCAGTGAAGTATTCAATTAAAAAAGAATAAGGCCCAATAAAGCCTCAAAGCTTTGATTAAAGTCTACGAGAATTTCTTTTGAATTTAATGTTTTCTAGTTTTTTGACTTGAGCCGCTGCCTAAGTGAAATTAAAGAAATGGGTTGAAGAAGATGAACAAGACATTTCTTCTGTCAGTATAGAATCTGTACTTTTATGAGGTCCAATTTGGCCTACATCATCGGAATCATCGGGCGCCTACTCGACGAGAAACTACTCCAGGATTAAACAGTGATGCGATGATCCACCATAAACTAAAGGCGAAGACTCGATTTGATAGCGCGAGTGTGACTTTCTCATAAGCTCACTGGTAAACAAATGTAAAGGTTTCGAAGTTTCAATGACTCTTCGGAAACTCAAAGCAGACTACTGCTCTGACAACTACACTGCCCCGGTTCCGCTTCACCAAGAATTGCTATTGGATTTGCATAAAATAGACGATGACGACGGCTAGAGGGAGAGAGAGTGAGACATAGAGCTTTTCCTCTCTGCACGTCAATATGAAATCTACAGAAAGCTTTAAAGAACTTAGCTCCGAAGTATATTTTGGTCGTGGCAGTACTAGATCAGCGATGGCCAGTCAGAGCGCATGCCAATGCTTTTAAAAGCTCAATTAACCTATACT